TTTTTTTTTTTTTTTTTTTTTTTAATAGCTCCTGTTCCTGAAGTTCCTGAATTCTAGTGCAGAGGCCAACAAACTTTTCCTGAACAGGGTCAGGTAGTAAATATTTGAGGTTTTTCTGGGCCTTATAATCTCTGTCACAACTATTTGCGGTACAAAAGAATCCATAGACAATGGCGGAATGAATAAGCATGGATGTGTTCCAATTAAACTTTATTAAGAAAAACAGGCAGCTGACAGAATTTGGCCTGTAGTTTGCCTCCTGCTGTATCTCTGTATTTGTAAATAATTCATCTAGTTGCTTAATACAGAAACCTGAAGATCATCATCAACACGTACTTTCCCCATAATAACATATTGAATCAGTCATCAAATCTTGGTAGTACTTCAGAAAATTCTCTGATATCCCTTCCTATGCCTTTCCTACGCCTTTCCTACGTAATCTCCTGGCTTGAGTATCTTAATTCCTAATCTCTTTTTATGATCATGCTACTCTTAAACTTAAAAAAAAAATGGCACTCTGTAATACTCCTTGGCTTGATATTCAAGGCTATTTAGAGTCTCACTCCAGCCTGCTTTTCTAATTTAATTCTCCATTCTCTTCTTCTCCATCGTTTATGTACCTTAGGGACCAGCTATGCAGAGATAGACTAATTTTGAATTTTAAGTTATTTTTCCTCCTGAAAAAATCAGGGCATTCATTATTTATTATATGGGTATTATGTTCTGTTCTATGAACTACATTGAAAAAGACAACATTTCTTCTCTAAAGGTCTTATGTCAGATAATGAGAGAGAAAAAATAATAAATCAGACGGTAAAATATTACCTATAAAGATGGTCAAATCCCAGAGGCATAGACTTCTACCATTTTAGGTCTCTTTTTAAATACTTTCTTGTGTATTCTTTCCATCTCAACTTATGTGTTTTATTTATCAATCCTCACTGAAAATAGTTCATGTTTTGATTTGTTCTGTAGTACTTTCTGCAGAAGAGCACTCAGGGGATAATGTAGAAAATGCAAAGATAAGAAAAGGTGAGAGAGACTGCAGTCAGTGAGAACCATTAGAGAGATACAACAGTAGTTTTAAGGCATGAACTAAGGCATTGGAAGGAAGTAGGGATGGAGAGCCATTTAGTAGGTGGAATTCATATGGATATCAGGGATGAGGGTGAGAGAATGCTTGTGATGACTTCGAGGTTTCTTGTATAGGGGACTAAGTAGGTAGTGTTTCTATAGACTTAGATGGGGAATAAGGAGAAGCTGTTTGGGATTCATTCTCCTCTAGACATACTGGTGTTGAGATACCTGAAGA